TCACTGCTCTTAGGAATCACATGCAGATACCCACTCGGGGACCAAGCTCCACCAAGCATTGTAAGAGAGGTTCTCAAGCTTAATTCACAACAGTGCCCTTAAAGACAGATTGCTGGATCCCACCCCCAGAGTTTTAAGCTCAGTAGGTCTCAGGGTAGGCTCTACCAAATACACTTCCACCAGGTTCTGGGGTAAAGCTGAAGTTGTTGGTTGGGGGAAGCCACATTTTGAAAATGGCTGCCCCAGATCAAGGTGGCAGAGCTGCCTCTAGTCTGGGAGTCGGTGGTCTGCAGGTTGGAGGGAACCATTTATTTGGAGCCACATCTGAACTCTGGCCTGATCTTCTGTGTTTGACTAATGGTTTTAAACTTAAAAGGAAAGAGAGGAACTCAATGTCATTTATTTAAAAGGGCAAACAGAGCCAGGTGTCTGACAACAGAATAAATTACTGACAATCTTTGGAAGCCATATTGACAGAAGATTCAAGTCCATCTGCTGCGTGGGATGGGATCCTTCAGAAACTGGTCAGACCTCTCATTGACTACTGTGACGACTACTTGGCTGGAGTATAATCATTGGAAATTTTATAGCATAAATTATATCTTGCATTACATTTTTATGGTAAAATTAACTATGAGTCCTGGAACTAATGACTAAAGATTTTGGAATGGAAGACCGTCAGACACTGGTGACAGCCTGTCACTGAACACATTCATGTAGTCATTTATTCAACCAATAATTCCTAAGTGTCAGCTTGGTACTCAGTTGACAAGCTGAGTACCAGGTATATAAAGAATTATCACTGACCTTCAAGTGCTCAGAGTCATGTAAGAGAAGCAGAAAACAGAATATAACAAACCAAAAGCCTCCACGTTATCATATTAATACCATATGAACTGGTCAGCATAGAGCTTAGGTGTCTGAAGGTGGATCTTACAAAATTATGTGGCGTGATCGAACTGGTAATGACAAATTTTAATGACTCTTCTAATAAATGAGCTCATGTTTTGTCACAATGAGGTGCCATTATTATTGTTGTCTCTGTTGTTATGAAATCAAATGTGCTATCATGACATTTAACCACCTGTTTCCTCATGCTTTGAATCATACTTTCAAATCATTTTTTAAAGGCTCAAAATTAATGGCGATCCCAGTGCATTCTGAACCTACCTACTTCAACTTCACTTTTAAAATAAGTGGGGGAGGGGAAAAGTGCTGGAGTGATATTGGCTAAATCACATTGTTCTATTACGTGTGCATATAAGTATGTAACAACAAATATCATGATGTACAAATATAATGCACCAATTTTTAAAATTGGGGGGGGGGATAAGTGGGGAATATGTATTTCATTTTATGAAGTGTTGCCTAACTCTAGAATCAAAAAGAAAGCAAACTGGACCTTTTGTTTTACAAAAAAAAATTTAAATCTTTTAAAAATCTGAAGTAAAATAAAATAAATGAACTTTAGAATTAATCATGTCTAATAAGTAAAACATTTTAAAGATGCACGGATGGATGTTATTATTTGAGAATGAAAAAATTAAAACAAAAATTGTAGTCTCAGGACGTTGAGACAAATGCCAAACTTTATAGCTCAGGGCAAACTTTTTATTATAAATGCTTTCAAGATCAAGTTTAAAATGGAAACACAAGCAGACAAGGCTCCAAAGTAATATACATAAATGATATGTTTCTGTTCTTGTATAGTGATTTTCCTCTCTTCTGAGCATTAATCTTTGAGTGACTGACTCTATAAATTATTGAACTAAGTTCAAAAGCAAATGAAATTTAAAATACCCATTTATTGAATGGCAAAAGTGCCATGTTGAAATTACTGTGATTTATCTGTTTCTTTAACGATTCCTGTAGCAAACTTACTTCATTGCTCAAAATTATTACCTGGTTGCATAGTTTACTCTGGCTTAAACATAAATCTATTCCCACTGTTCAGAACAGCAGCCATTTGTCAGGATCTCATTCATTCATTCACAGCCACAAGGTCCAATTTTTTCTTTCTACAGCTCTAAACTGGCACACCGTGGTACATGTAGATAGGACTCATCTTTTAGAAACTGATGAAGTTTGTGTGTACCACTGATGACCACAACAAGGGAGGCGCCAAGAGGAGTGACACCTAACCAGGACAGAGTTCACCCACCATGGTCGCCTGTTTAGCACTTGCGTAGTCCCAGCAGCTCAGGCACAGATGGGCACCCAAGGGCAAGCCTGTGGAGAGCCATGCATTTCTTGAGCATAATGCCTGTGGGTACTGCAACTGCAGCAAGTGCTGTGGTTAGAGTCTGGTCTAAAAGCTAACTTCTTCCCAACACCAAGAAGAGGGTCTTCTTGGGGCTGGGGGTCTAGTTCAATGGTAGAGTGCTTACCAAGCTTGCAAGGGCTCCTGGATTCAATCACCAGAACCAAAAGAGGCAAGCAGGGGTCTCCCGCATTTCTCTCTTCCAGATTCACTTCCTGGAGACGTTGTGTGTGGGGAGCACATATTCAGGCTGGGGGTGTAGCTCAAACTTGCCTAACAGGTGTGAGGCCCTAGGTTCCATCCCTAGCACCACAAAAACAAAACCAAAAACCATGATCTCCACCTGGCAGAAAATTTGCCATATACATGATAATGGATGAAACTGCTCAATATATAAAGAATGTTGATAAGTGAATAAGAAAAACATAAGGTTAGACCAAAATGAACGAACAACTTTTTAAGACATGAATCATAGAAATAAAAATAAGAAAATATGCATGTTTGCACAAATAGTCAAAGAAATACAATTTTAAAAGCCTAATGAGACTACATTTGCCAAACTGGTAGAGGGTTTCCCCCCCCCATAATATTTAATACAAGTTAGAATGTAATAAATGTTGCATATATGTTGCTGATAGGAGTGCAAACTATGGAATATTTCCTAGTGGTAATTTAACAGTATTTCAAGAGTCTTTAAAATAGTCTCACTTTACAATCTGCTAAGTTCATATCTAACAATTGTCCCAAAGGAGGTAAGATATTATGGTGAAGATGTACATTTAAAATGTTCATGGTAACTTATTATAGTAGCAAAATATTAAAAATTCCCTAAATAGCTAACATTGGAAAGTGCTTACATAAATTATCATATATTCACAAAAGTATATAATCATTAAAAATAACAATACTGAAAAATACTTAGTAAGGGAGAAGTATTTCTTAGAGGAGGTTATGGAACATAAACAAGTATACATTTTGGATATACACATATAATTAGTAGTCTAAACTCCACCGGGCAGGAAGTTTTGTATATTTTGCTCACTGGTTTATCTCCAGAACTCAGCAGAGTATCTGATACTTAGTAGGTACTCAATATTTGCTGAAATATATATGTCAGGTGAAAGCCTGTAGTTATAGCTGAGCTGGGAGCACAATAGGGAGTCTAAGCACAACCTTCATTTTCTTTTTTAGGCCTTCCTGAATTTTCTAATTTTTCTACAGTGTGTGTGTGTGTGTGTGTGTGTGTGTGTACATATGCTACTTTCACAATCAGAAAGCAAAACAAAATGTTCCTACTTAAATAATGATTTTTCTTAATATTATTCTTTATAGAGAACCAGTGTCAGATGTGGTTTGAAATCAACACGCAAACATGTGCACATGATGAAGGTCCCAGACCGTAGCCAGGACACCGGAGATCCATGACAAAAGATTTATGTTAACTTTTTAAAAATCACATTGGTCATAGGATGACTAATTTCTTTTCTACAAATAGATCTTTGTGGAATATTTGTTATTTGAAGATGCATTATTGAAAGCATCATACACACACACATACACACACACACACACCACAGTATCTTATTATTATTTTAAAATTATATTATAGAATTAAAGATCCTGAAGTATAAATAAGAATTTTCCTCACATTGTGTTATTTTCCCTTTTCCTGAAACTGCCATGTCAAATTCTCCTCTCTTACAGCACAGAAAAGAATTATTGAAGTATTTTCTTGTTTCTTTTTTTTTTAAATATATTTTTAGTTGTAGATGGACACAATCTCTTTATTTTATTCATTTATTTTTATGTGGTGCTTAGGATTGAATCTAGTGCCTCACCTGTGCTAGGCAAGTGCTCTACCACTGAGCTACAACCCCAACCCTACTTGTTATTTCTTAGCTGGCCTCAATCACCTAAAAATTTCGAGGATGGTGATTAGAGCATCATTATTTCATACAAGATTATGCAGATTGTATGCACTTTTTTATGTATGTACACAATCATTATGACAACTTCACCCTAGCAGACAGCATTTTTTTTGGAGCAAAATCTAAAAAAACCAAAAAACCAAAACTTCAGAGGAGTACAGACAGGAAACATATTTGTCCCTTATGGTCAAGGGCAGAACACAGATGGACCACCCTTTCCCAGCATCTGCAGCAGGGCAAGCAAAAGTGTCGGGTTCCCATACAATGACTAATGTGCCTGGGAAACAGGACAGGAGGGCTGACTGTGGCCTAAAACTGTATGTCCCTCTCAAAAGGTTAAAATGAGCCAAGAAATATGACTGTTATTTACAGAATCAAGACAATAAAGAATTTTAAAGATGCGAACAGATCTTTCTTTTTTTTTTTACTAACCCTACAGTGATAAGGTACCACTTCTAAGTCACCCCACCTTTGCCCTACCAGGTCCTCAAATAATGTATGTAGACTCAAAGTACCAACACTTGAGTTTTTCACTCATTCTACAAAATTGAACAAGAGAATGCGAGAGTGCTTTCATTTACCTCAAAACCTCCAGCTCAACTGAGAAACGATTAGCATTCTAGTCTAAATTTTAAATATTATACCTTGTACATATTTAAAGTTGCTATGAAGACCCTCTTTGAATATTCTAAATTTGAATGTCACCAGACAAATGTCCTTAACAACTCAAGGAAATGCTCATTATATGAAAGAGAAAAATGGGCTTCAAAAATGGAGAGGATGAATAAATGAGAGAAAGGTAGTAGAGGGCTGGGGATGTAGCTCAGTGGTAGAGCACTTGTCTGGCATGCAGGAGACCCTGGGTTCAATCCCCAGCACCACCAATAAATAAATAAATAAATGATAATAAATAAATCAGAATATAGGAAATTTGAAAGTGGAGACAGCATAGTACATGATGCCTAGTGTTCTATATGTGGTAGGAAAACAATAAATGTTTATAAATTGAATTTAAATTTTTATTGTTTTTAGTTCCTAGGTATTAATATTGTATAATTTGATTCACAGAACAAGAGAATTGTGTTAAAGCAATAAAGCAAAATAATGAAAGAAACAGGTTCAAGGAAGGACAGAGTCATGTGAAGCTCTCTATATATATCCTCTATCACATGTGCCAAGGGCTTTGTTAGGGATTATATAGCCTGCCACTTGTCCTTGCTGATCCTAAGCAGACCACCGGGGGAAAACAAAATGGACTGCTTTGGGAACAAAAGCAAATAAATATTTTCTTGAAAATGTTTTAAATTGCAATTTATACATTTTTAAAATCAAACTGATTCTTATCTATACCAAGGTGCGAGCAAATAACAGAAAGAGCAGCAAGACTCCCTTTGCATGTACTTCATAAACCCCAAGAACTACCAAGTGCCCACTGAGGCCACCCCACTAGTTCTCAACCTGCAGTCCACTCCCCACTGCTGGCAGTCTCTGGATCTCCATCTATAAATTGAGTTCATCACAGTTTGGGTGAGTGTCCGCCAAAGGTCCATTTAGTAAAGGCTTGGTCCCCAAAGTGGCAATACAGGGAGGTGGCAGGAAACTATAGGGGGTGGGGACAAATGAGAGATGGTTAACTCATTGAGGGTGTGACCTGGAAGGGGATCATGGGACCCTCCCCCATCTCTTCCCCTTCCTGTACGACTTTGCTTCCTGGTTCATGAAGTGAGTGATTTACTCCACCACCCACTCCTGCCAATATGGCTGCTTTGCCAGAGGCACAAAGCAGTGGTGTCAATGGATCTGGGACTGGAGCCTCTAAAACCATGAACTCAAATAAACCTTTTCTTTTTACCAGTGAATTATCTCAGGTGTCTTATTATAGTGATGCAAAACTGAATAATACAATCACAAAATCATTTCCCATTTCACTTCCTGCCCATCAATGCCAACTTTTATCAAGTGCTTGCCAACCTGGTACCCCACACCATTCTGGGCACTATGTATACATGTGTTTATATATATATACATATGAAATATAAATATGTATACACATACATAATATAGGTAATTATACATATCTATTGTATATGTATTATATAGAGAGAATTTTTTCATATTTAATCTTCTCGAAACCTGGTAAGGTAGAAACCTTTACTATTTGCATTTTTACTAATGAAAAGACTGAGCATGGAGAGATCTTGCCCAAGAACACACACTAGAAGATGGTAACATTTACTGAGTACCTCTGTTGTGATCTGGGTACCTGCTCTTCACTGCTATGCTAATATCTATTGGTCCCTACCGTCAGTGCACCATGCTGATAGCAGACTTCCTTTGGCTTCCTGAGTCTCTATCCTCCTCCCCTATATCCTAGCCTGTGCTATCCTAGAGGGTGTTCTGTTTTATTTTCTTCCTTCTAAGGCCATGTTTTCTGATACCTGCACAATGACCCTCATTTTTTTCCATCTACATTCATCCTTGTGGCTGATTCTCTTCCACCTGCTACCAGACCTAGGAATGGACAGATATACAATCCCACTCTACTGTCCTGTCTGAAGGGTCCCCATCACCTGCTGTTCACCCAGACTTGAACTTCATAGTCAAGGACTGACCCTCTCCAGCAAATCCCTGCAATGAGGCCTCTCCAATGGGTGCATCTATCTCCAAGTGCTAGTCTCCCCTGCATGTCTCTGTAGAAGATCTCCTGCTATCAAGGACTCCTGCTAACAATGACTGGCTTTGTCTGGCAAAATCCAGACGTTCCTAAAAACAGTGTTGAATCTCGCTTAAAACTATCCAAGTCCTCTGAAGGATGTTGGGTTACCTATTCCAAATATAAGCCAAGGAAGGTACACAAACAGCCCCAAGACACAAAGACACTGTTATGAGCTCGTGGTGGGTGTGCAGGAGCTCCCTCTTCCTGCAAGCCACTGAGGGGCCTGCCACCTGTCATCTTGCAGTTAATTAGGTAACACTTGTGAAGGGTTTTGCGACATGTAGCACACGTGTTGTCCAGGATCTCACACATGACGCTCTACAATGCAAAACTCAGGAGCTATTTTTAAAATCTATCTAACAGTTGAGCAAATCTCAAGAGTGTTTCTTTTTGCAGATCACTGTAAATCCATTCCTCTTCCATTGAGGTACCTCTAAAAGGAGCACACAACTGGTGGGGATTATTGAAGAGATTACAAAGGATTTTTAAAACAACCCCCCCCGCCCCGCCCCAACAACAACAATAAAAAAGCAAACTGATTATAATCCATGCTTCATTTTCAGAGAAACCACGGAGAGACTTCTTCATTTCATCTATTATTTTGAAAATAAGCAATTCAAGAAGAAAGGAGGGGATGAATTGCTTTGTGTCTGTGCATAGGTTACTTCCACATATGTGAGAGAGTCGCAGAGCTGGGGGCCATCCCAGGACACACTGGAGAGGTTTCTGCGATGTCTCAGAATCTGTGAGGACAAAGGCCAACTTCTCTGAAGCCCTGGTCAGACTTGCTTGAGCAGCTCAGCCAAGTGCCTCGTGGGTGTAAGCTGAAGAGGGAGGTCACCTTCACCTCCCAAACTATCATTACAGCAGCTTTTCTGGCTTCAGGAAAAACAAAAGGTTTATTTTTAATTAATGAGGGCAGGTCACTAATTCCCTGTTTAAAAGAGCTTCCTTTTGCTAAAGGGCATCCCGTGAATGAGTGGGCAGGTTTAATGAACTGCCTTTGGCTAAGAGGTTTGAGGGGAGTTCCTCACAATGGTTAAGTTCTTCCAACCACAGAGCCACGGGAGGTGCCTACACACATCTGGGTCTCTGCTTCGGGAGTCCACCACTGCCTCATGGCGACCTTTGTTCTGCTGGCTCTCGGGTGGGTGGTTGACAATATTTTTTCAGTTCTTGAATTTTGCAGGGACAGGCGCCAGCATGTTCTCAAGACCATCTGGACTTACCTTCAACTCTGCTTGCAGACAGCACTGTCTAGCACGTCAAGTTCCTCAGTCAAACCTACACAGTGATTTCCATTGTTCTCATCCTTTACTAAAACAATCCTACACTCCATTTACTACAAAAGTAATACTTTTCCTCAACAATTGCATTACCAATCCTGTCTTCTCCCCCAGAACTGTGACATAACATGGAGAATCTTCTAGAGAAAAGCCTGTGTCAAGTACAAGTCAGAAAAGTATTAACACCTCCCTCAGGCTCAGCATTTAAAAAGAAGGAAAGGAAGAAGCTTGAGCATTTGAAAATCAGTACCCGTGCCCCCGCAGAGTTATCAGAATTTCCTAGGCATATGAACGATTATCATTGGTTAATATCAACACCTAAATGATTGGCCTGCACATGCCAATAAGAACACTAAGTAACTTCCTCTTTCAAATTAAAAGTATTCAATACCATATTCTAAGTTCACTTGCCATTGGAAACCTACTTTCTCAACTGAAAAATAAAATAATATTGGTGGCACTCACCTTAGTTCCCACTACTCAGGAGGCTGGGGTGGGAGGATCACATGAGCCCAGGGGTGTGAGGCCAGCCTGGGCGCCATAGTGAGACCTTCATCATACCCCCATCATCTGCATTTTCCTGTCTGTGAAGACCACAGTGTTGACATCTGTTGATTAGACTCAGGCATAAGCTGGGCGTGTTACAGATTTTCCCTCTTGATTTCTCAACACTTCTGGAACTAATGGAGGGGAAGCTCTTGAAAGGCACACATTTCCCTCACTGCTGCAGCTCAGAAGGAGGCCCGATAAATATATGCTTCATACATTTTTAAAAATTATTTCCCATAGTTCTCACTGCAGCCTTCAAAGGTGGGCATTGTTTGTCCCCTTATGGAGAAACTGAGGCAGGCAGAGATTTGGTAACTTGCCCCAACCACTTAGCTATCAGTGTCCGAGCCAGGATTGCCACAGGTGCTGCCTGCCTCCTGAGCTCGCTCTGAACCCCAACCCCTCTGCTCTGCTACCTGGGAGTCCCCTACAGTCGATTCCCACTAAAGCCATTTGCGTCCAACAGCATCCCCACATTTAGGGACACTCCAGAACTTCTTCCATTATATGCCTTCTGGCTCCGTCTTATGACCCAATGTCTAGAATTCTTGTGTTCCCCAGTGAAATAATTTAGTGCTTCATCTATTTCCTTTCACAACTACTCCTTTTTAGTAAATCCTGTGTAGACCACAGTATATAAACAAGCCTTGTGGGATGAATACACCTGCTGTAAATATTAATGCTGGGCCTCTGGAATGACACCCAAACTTTCAGTGTATCTTCTCCAAGGGGGGGCAGGCCAGGCTTCTCCAACTGCTTTTACCTGGGCTTTGTGAAAAGGAGCAATTTACCCAGTTTGTTCTTTCTTTTTAGTTTTTCATCTTTTGTTATCATTCTTGTCTTCTCTTCTGTCTGGCT